GGGACAGCCCTCTGAAATGACACCCTGGGAAACAGCTGCTTTTCTGCATTCACATTTGGCGTCTGGCTGGCTGGTATTGGAGTCTGGCTGACTGTACTATTCATGATTTGGCCTCTTCAAGTTCTCTTGGTAGGGCTTAATGAAGATGTGCCTTTTTGGATGGATGGGTGGATGGGTGGGTGGGTGGGTGGATGGATGGATAGGTGGATGGATGGATAGGTGGATGGATGGATGGATGGATGGATGGATGGATGGATGGATGGATGGATGGATGGATAGGTGGATGGGTGGATGGGTGGATGGATGGATAGATAGATGAGATATTCAATGAATGCACGGCTGTGTGCCCAGTGCAGTGCTTGGCCCTAAAGATACAAAGGCGAATATGATGGTCCCTGCCTTCCAGGACCTCACAGTCTAGTGAGAAAGACCAGTGACTCCTCAAAAAGGTACATGTATTTCTTTAGGTTCCTCAGAAATCTACTCTGCCCCAGGGTTTTGAGAGCAAGGAGCTCATTTGGGAAGGGATGCCAAGAGACCTGGGGCAGGGAGTGGAGTAGGGATGTGACCGGGAAGGGAGGAAGCCCAGCCAAGGGTGTGTTACTTATCTGGGTGGTACCTCTGGAGCTTAGTCCCGCTGGGGCACAAGGGAGACAACTTGTAGGGAGGCCACGACTTCCTGGGACAGCAGCGCGGGCCCATCCAGCTTGCTGCGCAGGTGCGGCCCACGCAGAAGCCTCAGCCACGCACAGGTGCAGAGCTGAAAGCTCCGGGGAGGTGGGCGGAGACAATGTCTGACAGGTTGGACATCCCAGGAGGGAGGAGGCATCACGAAGATGGAGAGGTGACGCTTGAGCTGGATTTGGTGGGTGAACGAGATAGCAAGGCCCCATGGGAAGGGTGGCCAAAGACTGGAGGCCGGAGTGCTTGGAGCAGAGGAGCCAGGGGAGTCGTGGGAGCAAAGTCAGAGTCAGAGCTGACAGCCAAGGGTCTCCTCCTCCCCAACGGTGACAACTCGGCCTCTTTCTGCCCATCAGATGGGAAGCCAGGGTAGCAGGACAGGGAAGCTCCAGAAATGTCCACCAAGGAAGATCACTGTGCGGGGGGGGGGGGGGGGNGGGACGCTAAAAGTGAGGCCCCCTCAACAGAGAGGTGGCAAAGGAGGCCCCAAGAAGAGGCCGGATTCTGGACAGAATCCGCAGGTGGATCTGGCATGGCCTGCTGACAGGTTAGCTGTAGAGTGTTTCCAGGAGAGGCATTGAAAGCCCCATAAATATTTACACATTGCCATACGTGCTGTTAGGAGCAGGGCCCTGTGAGGGAGAATCTCAGGGGCCTAGGAGAGAGAGAACAGACCCATGGAGGCCTTGCGGAAGGGGACATGTCAGCCTGGACAGGGGTCGGGGACATCGCAGGACAGTCTGGGGCAGGCGGGGCTGTGCTCCCGCAGCGTGAGGGCGCGGGGAGTGGGAAGGACAGGAATCGGGAGGCAGAGGCTGCCCACCCTCTGGGGGAGTCGTCTGCCTTCCCTGCACTCCGGCCTCCCCACCAGCCTGCAGCTGCCCACCTGCCCGGGTAACCACCAGCCGCCTCCTTCAGCTGCGCCGTTGATTAGACCCAGGCTGAGAGAGGGACTTGCCAAAGTCAGGCCCAGACCACTGAGCTCTCGATCTCGTGGGATTGATTGCCTGCCTCTGAAAGGTGTGTCTTGGAGGGGACGGCTCCATGCCATTCGGGCACGCAGGCGGCCGCGTGGAAATGACCCCGGAAGCCGGTTCCAAAGGGGAAGTGGGAGACACGTCACTCTGGGTTGGCAGCTCGTATCTCAGGGCTGCCGTGAGCTGGGGAGAAATCCATCTCTCGCCCTCCAGGTCAGGCCGCTTTCTAGCCAGCCGTGACCGTGAACGCGGTCAGTGCGGCAGAACCTGGCCCGTCTCCTTCCAAACCAGCCCCCTGCCCCGCGACACGCAACTCTGCTTCTGGCCAGAGAGACCTGAGAATGGAATCTGCCCTGGCAGGAAAAGAAGCCGGGGTCCTTCCTCCATCCAGCTTCACCTCCAGGCAGCAGGGGACCTCGTCGTCTGTGTCCCTCCCAGACCTCACGGATCGACTTCAGAGCAGGGTCTCAGATCCCCGTGCAGATGGGCTGAGCTACTCAGCTGCAAAAACGCTTTTGTTGCTTTGACATCCCCTTGGGGAAGAAAATCTTGTCCCTGTAACTGGACTAAGGCCATAGGACAAAACTCAGGGCCTTTGTTCAGTTACGGCCCCCAGCAAGGGCAGTGTGTAAAAAGCCCAGGGTCCGTTCTTGAGGTCGTCACCTGCATCAGCCCACGCTTACACTGTGGTGCTGAAGCATCAAAGGAAGAAGGAGCAGGGACGCTAGGAAATCACGTGAGTTCGGAAGATCTGGTTAGAACCCCACTGCACCGGGGTTCAGATGGAAGCCGGGCATCCCCCGGCAGCACCAGCTCGATCACAGCCTCACACTGGTGAAGATGCCCTCCGAGCCCCGAGTCCACTGTACCGGGGTTTCTTCACAATTTTTTTTAAAGCACCTGATAAAATTAATCTGTCTGTGCCTCTTCCTGACAACTTCTTTTCTTTCTCATAAATCAGAAGAACAGAACAGAGTAACTTAACTGTTACTCTCCTCTCAAAAGCGAACTCCCCGATGGTTCATTTCGACCTTGGACACACACCAGAGAGCTTATCAGCTTTGGAACCATTCCTGGGGCAGAGGTTAGGAGTGAAAAAGGGAGTCAGCTACCTCCTTGTTGACCTCAGTCGGTACTCTCTAATTGACTAAGTTCTTCTTTCCAGCATTTCTAACTCAGGCCCTGCGGGCAAAGCATCCCGTGATGGGGACCGAAACTGCCCTCTCTCAAGCAATCAGGACTGCCCCGAGCCAGCAAGACCCCGCGCAATTGACCCCAAGACAGTGAACAACTTGACCTTCACTGCCCACCTGCGTGTACCCACCGGCCTCTGCCCCACACTCTCCTGACACAAATCCGGAAGTGTTTTCAGCACCTGGAGATAAGCCTTTGAGACGCTAGTCCGCTGTCTTCTGGTGCTGGCCTCACTGCAATAAATTCCTTGCTTTTTGCATCTCCAACTCATTTGTCTGCCTTTGGATTTTGTCAGCGGCGAGTGGTCGAACTGGTCTGTTTGGGACCCCCAGAACCACCCCTGCACCCCGGCTTCCAAAGGACAGGGCTGGTCCTGCAATTGAAAGGGCCAGGGACAGGGGTTCCTGATGTAACCCTCGCGGCTCTGTCCTGGCTCTTTCTCACAGATCTGTCTACAAATCCCTTCCATCCTCCGTCAAAGGGGAGGCCAGTTTATGTATCACTGCAGATCAGGTCTTGTCTTTCAAGAGTGTCAGCGTGTGCAGCAGCCCCCAGGTTCACATGCGTTTCCACCAGGCACGGCCTACGGAGTACGGCTCTGTTAACTACTTTCAGCCTGGAAGCAAAAACTTTAGGGCCATTTTTCCCCCCATGTCTTCATGTCTCAGCTTCAGCGGGTGTGCTGCATCCATCCGGGCATATACGCTCAAGCCGTGAGGTTTGATCCCTCTACAAATGTGTTTTTTATCAAGGAAGAGCGTCCTCTGACAGCACAGCATCTGACGGATACATTCAGGCTTCATTTCTTTATTCGACCAGCGTGTAGAGTTGCATGCTGCGTGCCGAGCACTGTGCTGAGGCCTAGGGCTCCAGAGACGGCTGTGCGGGGCTCGTTCCACACACGCAGGACCCCTTCCACGGGGCCTGGTGTGAGGTACTCGCTCAGTAACTGTGGGATGAAGGGATGCTGTAGCTCCAGTTCCTGGAGAGCCTTCTTTGCTGCGAAAGAAAACATGTCAGATTCCCCGGCTTCCTCTCCTCCAAGAGCTCAGAGCTGCTGCTGACAGTGTTTTGGTCACACAGTAAAACCCAGAATATCCGCAGGTGTCTGCTGCCCTGGGGCTGAGGGGGCCGGAGGGGGGTGGTGCAGTGCACCTTATCGTTGAGAATGTAGCCAGAACAACAGTCTTTGCCCTTGGGCTCAGGGCTGTGGCTTTGGCTGTTCAGCCAAACCGCAGGACCCCGGCCTTCTCAGCAGCCGACATGTCCGTACCTGGTTCTCTCACCATCAGGCAGGTGTCCCACTCACAGAGTTTGTCAAGAGATTCTTCCACGGGCTTCTTTGCTGACTGTGGGGATCTTCCCATGTGATCCCAATAGCCTATTTTTTTCTGCAGAGTCCTCTCTCTCCCCTCCGCCTTTGACCTGAGTCTCTAACTCTTCAGGCAGAGTAATGAGGGTGCGGCCCCTCCAGCACCTTTGGGTAGCAGGAGTCCAGCTTACCTGCCGGGTCCCTGACCAAGGGTTGTTGAGGTTCAAAGGGTGCCGCTGTGTGTTTTCTGTGAAGCCACGTTCTCCTACACGTCCCTGTTTCTTTTCCTGAGTTCTTCTCTCACACACCCTATGTTCTTACTGTGCCTTTTAAAGTAGCAATAAATTATCCCCACCGCTTGCCATTTAAGAGGTTTCTCTCCAGGGGACACTATCCTCCTTTTTTTCCTTGGGTCCAAGTTTCCTTTATGCAAATGAATCTTACATTGGAAAATCTACAAAGAAGCAAAGTATCAGCGCAGTTTCTTTCTTTTATCACGTTAGCCATTGTGAGGCACTTGCCCCCCGGAAGTTGACTTTTACACCCTAGAACGAAGATCAGCAGAATCCCACGACTTGATTCTTGGGTGACCTGTGTAAAGGGTTGTTTCTTAATGGGGAAGGGCAATTTTTTTTTGATACTTTGCAAATGTTGCCCTTAGGGTAAGTATATAGCCACCGAATTCTGAATGGGTATTTCATCACCCTGTGATTTCTTTTCTTGCCCCCATCCCACCTCCCACCGCCCATCAGCTTTGTTAAGTGCATCCTGTGACTCTTTTTCCTGGGGGGGGAAACATGACCCATTGTTTTCACCTGTGTGCCCTTGTTGTTTAGAAAGCCAAGCTTGGCCCTGCTGGTAACAAAGTCATCAGTCCTTCAGAAGACCGAAGACAACCTTCCAACAACCTTGACAGAGTGAAACTCACAGACTTCAATTTCCTCATGGTGCTGGGGAAGGGGAGTTTTGGAAAGGTAAGAGGTCAGTTGTCTGGGAGACGGAGGGGCTTTTTTGCAGAGAATGCTGGGATCCATCCTGCGCTTCCTGAGGTTTCCAGAGCAGCCCTCGAGATTTCCCTGCTCTGTGTACATGATTCTCAGAGGTTCCCCCACTTTGTGTCATTAAAAACAAATGTATCCAAAAAGCTACAGAGAGGGGGGCGCCTGGGTGACTCAGTCGGGTAAGCATCCAACTTCAGCTCAGCTCGCGATCTCACGGCTCATGATTTTACGCCCTGTGTCGGGCTCTGCACTGACAGCACCTGGGATTCTTTCTCTCTCCCTCTCTCTCTGCCCTTCCCCACCTTTCAAAATAAATAAATAAGCTTTTTTTTTAAATTTATTTCTAGGAAAGAGAGAGAGTGTGAGCAGGGGAGGGTCAGAGAGAGAGAGGGAGTCACAGACTCTGAAATAGGCTCCAGGCTCTGAGCTGGCAGTCAGCACAGAGCCCGACGCGGGGCTCGAACCCACGAACCGCGAGATCATGACCTAAGCAAAAGTCGGACGCTTAACCGACTAAGCCACCCAGGTGCCCCGATAAGCTTTTAAAAAAAGCTACAGAGGGTTCACTGTAAGGGTTCACTGTGTGTTACCGTTTCAGGGTTGAGAACAGAGCAGGTACTCCAAAATAGGTTAGTTGAATGAATAATTTTCACAATAAAAAATTAAAAGTTGATCTGTAGTAAGTAAAAGTAATAAGTGAGCGGTACTGAGCTGAGTTTCTTCAGTGATCAGTCTATATGACTGCATTTGGCTTCTTTGGCCCCAAATCTCACGATAGATCCAGGAAATGATTTCCATCCTGCCTTTTTCTGTCTCGGCTCCAGACTGCTGAGACGCTGATAAAGGTCAGTCCCACTTTTGCCCAAAGGATGCTCCTGAAAAGTGTGCACGTTATCAAGACTGATGCTGAGTACCCCATATATTCCCTTTAGCAGCCACACCAGCGCCCTCATGTGGCCACAGCCTGCACAGCGTACGCATCTCAACAGCTTCTAAATTACACGGCGATGGAGGAACTTAATCTACCCTGACAGGCAGTAGTTCCTCCCCGACCCCCCCAGTACCAGACACAGGCTTCAGGGTTTTCAGGTCGCCTTCCGTCTGCTCCCAGGTGATGCTCGCCGACAGGAAGGGGACAGAAGAACTGTACGCCATCAAAATCCTGAAGAAGGACGTGGTGATTCAGGACGATGATGTGGAGTGCACCATGGTGGAGAAGCGAGTCCTGGCCTTGCTTGACAAGCCCCCGTTCCTGACACAGCTACATTCCTGCTTCCAGACAGTGGTAAGGACGCCGGGAGTGCAGACCTGAGGCATAGCGCACGGCGTGTGCCCTCGAGGGCGACGCGTGGACCAGAGTGTTCTAACTCTAAGCATCTGCATCAGCCTTACTCCAGTGGAGAAGCTGAAGAAAGGCCTGACCTGGGGGACGGTCTCTCCTTGTTACACCACCGGTAGATTTGGGGTGTCCCCTCTCTGGGATGTGCCCTCCTGAGAGGCGTGGCATTAACTCTATGGACTTCAGCAAACATTTGTATCAAAGGTTTTTGTTCTACCAGGCAATGTGCTAAGACCTAGGGACACAAAACCAATAAACTAACTCACGGTCCTGGCTTTTTAAGACTACTGATCAGTTGCCAGGCACTGGGAGCATTAGGAGACTTGATCTCCCTAAAGAGTGCGTTCTCATTTCTTGCACACAGCAGGGAGGTGGCCGTCTGGTCTGTTTTGTACAGCCCAGGAGCCCTAAGAAAGGTTAGAGAGGGAAAAAAAACAAACCCCACAAAGAATGATATTTTGTGACATGTGTCATTAGACGGAATTCACATTGCAGTGTCCAAGAATTGTTTTCTTGGCACACGGCCACGATCCTTCATTTTCCCATTGTCCACGGTGGCTCTCATGCTGTGGAGGTGGAGTCGAGTAGTTACAGGACACACATGGAGCCCCAAGTATTTACTGTCCAGCCCTTTACAGAAAGTGTGCCCAGCCCTGTCTTACAGTAAAATTAAAAAGAGAATAAAATAAGTCCTAAAGCACTGATCAGCCCGTTGTGGGGCCAGGGCGCTGGCTGGAGCTTACAAGTACGTGCAAGAAGTTCATACTTTCTGATGGCACCAAAGACAGGCTTTCTGGGTTTTTTTCCTTAATATAATTTATTGTCAGATTGGCTTACATACAACACCCAGTGCTCATCCCAACAAGCGCCCTCCTCAGTGCCCATCACCCATTTTCCCCTCTCTCCCACCCCCCCCCATCATCCCTCAGTTTGTTCTCTGTATTTAAGAGTCTCTTGTGTTTGCCTCCCTCCTTCTCTGTTTGTATCTGGTTTTTTTCCCCCTTCCCCCATGGACTTCTGTTAAGTGTCTCAAGATCCACGTATGAGTGAAAACATGATATCTGTCCTTCTCTGCCTGACTTATTTCACTCAGCATAACACCCTCAAGGTCCATCCATGTTGCTGCAAATGGCAGGATTTCATTCTTTCTCATTGCCAGGTAGTATTCGATTGTGTATATAAGCTACATCTTCTTTATCTATTCATCAGCTGATAGACACTTAGGCTCTTTCCATAATTTGGCTATTGTTGAAAGTGCTGCTGCAAACATTGGGGTCCACGGGCCCCTGTGCATCAGCACTCCCAAAGGCAGGCTTTCTACTCCTCAGTGGCTGCCCATTTTAAAATATGACTCAGTAATCAGTGGCTATAATTCTTACTGTTATGAGTATGATTATTTTCAACTTTCTTCTGGCCAGAAAATGACTTTCTGTCTTAATGTCTCTCTTTAAAATCTCTTGGGAGGTGCCCCTCAATGCTTTTTGGTTTTAGAACCTCAAATGACAGTGGACCCACACGGTGGCAGGGTGGGCAGCAGGCTACAGAGCCGGCGCCGGCCACCATGTGTCAGCCTGGAGCTGGCGGCACAGCCAGCCTTCGTCTCCCAGCAGCAGCCAAGGAGGGAAGCGCCATATGCCAGACAGGGATCCGCGTCCCTGAATCTCAGCCCTGGTCCTGTCCCCCTCCTCAGGACACTGGGAACACTGTTTAAGCTCCGGAAAGCCACAAAACAGGGAAATAAAGATGGACTTCAAATTCATAACAGGAAAGCTAGAGATAGAAGCTTCTGGAGCTGTTTCCTGGCTGTCAGCAGCCACTGCATCATTCTGTCCCTCCCTGTGTGGCACTTGAATGTTTCATAACCTCCGTGAGCTGGTGGTGATGTGTAGACGGAAGCCGGGGTCGACTCTCACCCGGGTGTGCTGTGCCCTTCCACACCAGCTTCCCCATCTGCCCCGCTGCAGGGTCCTCATAAATATGCAGATTCAGGGGCGCCTGGGTGGCTCAGTCGGTTAAGCGTCGGACTTTGGCTCAGGTCATGATCTCGCGGTTTGTGTGTTCAAGCCCCGCATCGGGCTCTGTGCTGACAACTAGCTCAGAGCCTGGATCCTGCTTCAGATTCTGTATCTCCCTCTCTCTCTGACCCTCCCCTGCTCATGCTGTCTGTCTGTCTGTCTTTCTCTCTCTCTCTCTCAGAAATAAATAAAAACATTTTAAAAAATTTTAATAAATATGCAGATTCATCGAGTTCTGTGATGTACGCCCTCCACAGGGCTGGCACTTAGCATGCCAGTGACAGAAAATAAAAAACAATATTTGGGCCTGTTATGGATGCAAAAGAACATTTGGTTAGCCTCTCCGTTTATAGTTTCCTCCTGCACAGTATCATTGAGCATTTATAATTCAGGAGCCCAACCCAGCTCATGAGATTTGTTCTCAGAAGCATCCAGTGACATGACTACCTCACTGTGGCTTGCCCCCCAGACACTGCAAACCTGAAACACCGGTTACCAAGTAAATAATTGGCCCATATGGATTCTTCACGCGATCCGTTAAACGTGTATTATGTGTGCAGGAGGAAGGGTAAGAGGGTGTGAGGCCATTACTATAATTGGGAGCATACGGAACCAGAAAGGGGGAGACATGTTGACAGAGAGCCAGTATTTCCCGGTTACATAATGACTTTATACTTCCCAAGGCCCCCGTGCAATAGAGTTCCTTACGTATTTTTTATCAGGGAAGAAAAATGTTGAAGGGCTCCACCGAGCAGCCCTGCCAGTGTAGCCCACAGTTTACCAACTAACGAGAAAGCCAAGCATGGTCTAGAAAGAGAGAAGGCAGCCTGTCGGCTGGTGGCCAAGCCTTACTCACGTCTTGAACCTTGGTCTTCAGGATCGACTGTACTTTGTCATGGAATACGTCAACGGTGGAGACCTGATGTACCACATTCAGCAAGTAGGGAAGTTTAAGGAACCACAAGCAGTGTGAGTATTATTTTGTTAAGTCCTGTAATTTAGACAGCACAAGGGAACTGAAGCTACTTCAAGCATGGAGGGTGAGGCTTTGTCCACTTTGGAGCTGAGCACTGAGACCTCCCAGGGGGCAGACATCTTGGCTGGATCCATCTATGTGCTTCCAAAGGAGTGGTTTATCCTACTTCTGGTAAATTGGAGATGCTAGTGTGTCCCCCTGTTACCCAATTCCACCCTCACGGATCGAGTCACCCACTTGTTATTGAACAGTTATGGCAGATCCACAATGCACCAGGCACTGGGAGTGTGAAAGGCTCTCCTTGCCCTTGGGGAGTTCACTGCCCAACCTGGGGTGGGAGAAGTCTCTCAAAAATTGTAATGTGTGGCCGTCAACTTTAGAGGCAGCACTGACACCACGCAAGCCCTGATGAAGAGGAGAGTGAGGAAAGAGCATCTTCAGGGAATGTTCTCACCCAAGCCAGTGGGGCAGAAGATGGCTTGAGATTGGGGCTGTGGGGAACGCCAGGCGATGGGCCTGGTGGAAGACCTGCCTGAGGGCCACAGAAGGCTGTTGGGGGGCTTCAGGGGGGCTTGATACCATCAGGTAAGTTTTCACAGAACCCCACCCCCCCCCCCCGATCAAGAGCGGAAGGAAGTGTGGAGGGAGAGTGGAGGCTCCTGCAAGGGGATTGGTGGAAATCTGTGTGGAGGAGAGACAATGGAGCTTTAATTCGGTCTTGATCTTGCATCCAAAGAGGGGTAAGGGTCTTTGAGAAAGAGTCTGGAGGAAGAAAAGCAGAATTGGGTGTAGGACAGAGAAACCTCTTCGGGTGATACCTCATCTTCGGTTTGGGAGGGGACAGCCACCAAGGATTTAGAGGAGAATCTGGAGCTCAGTTTGGAGGGCATCATCAGGGCCGCAGGCGTCAGCAGTGTGGGGAAGAGACACAGGCTCCGGGGGAGACAGAATTGCCCCTTTGAGGGGGGACTTCAGTACCTGAAAGATCAAACCAGTTTCCAGGGGCCAGGAGCTCACAGGACACTCAGCAGAAGCAAATCTATACAAACAGCTGTTTCATTTCCCTCCGCGAGGACCCATAGTGGGCACGTGCCCTGATTAATCACGTTAGCAAATGTTAATTGGATTCTGGCCCACGTTCAGTCTACAAGCTAAATCTAAAGAGGGTTTGGCCCCTGCGGGTTGGTTGATCTGTTTCGGGGAAGATGAACCGAAGGCAGAAGAGAGAATTCTTTGATGACAAGCTTCTAAAACTGCGGAAGGGGGATTTTGTTTGTTTGTTTCTGTTTTTATTTTTTGCTTGTCAGTTTTCAGAAATGCCTGTCTTTTTCTCCTCTCTCACTCTGGTAGTTATAAAGCGTTAAAATGCTTGGGTTGTAAAGCAGAGCTTGATAACACAGAGCTGGAAAAAGCAAGTAGCAGAATAGAGGCCTTAGGTTACAAGGTAACGTTAAGGGGTCCCTTCCGGTGCCCTTAACATTGTATTTGAGTTCTTGGAAAGTTTTTATTTTCAAAATACAGGAAAGCACGAAAGATAATGTAAAAGTCGCCTGGAATCCCATTTCATTTCCCTCTCCCATTCTGCCCTTCTGCCCGACCTTAGGGGTGCCCCCCACGCCCACCCCCAGTAAGAGATCGATCCTTATCATTAGAGAGGTCGCTCTCAGCTCACGTAGGCATCGTGTATATTTTAAGCCTCCTGGGTGTGATGTTTGCACAGGCACAGTCTTATGGCTTCTCAGACTTCAAAGATTCCTAAATGCTCTGCAAATTTTAAAACCTCCTTCAGCATTTACTCTCAGTTTGTCATGAATTATTTAAAAGGGTCAACTCAAGTGTGAATCACAGTTGTGTGTCACATTTATCCCAGCACTTAGGGGTGATTTGGGGGGGGGGGGGTGAGTTCACCAGCTCTTGGGTGCCTCACTGGGCACCATCCATGACTAGGAAAATGGCAGTCTTCTCTGCACTACCGTGGTCAGTAGTGTTGAGTTAAAGTGAAATCATATTGCCAACCCCCTGACACAAAACAGTCTAGCAGCCACTCTCTAAAAGATTGTATTTGAAATTTCGTTTAAGCAGTAAATTATCTGTCCACCGGCCTCAGACAAGAAGTTCTGGTTTCCAGACAGGTAATAAACTTGTCTCATTGACTTAGTTGCTGTAAAATGCCTTGGGGAGGTTGGAGCGATGAAATGGCAGAGGGAAGGGCAAAGAGTTAGTCGTGTGTTAAGACGTGCTGATCTCTGATCGTCCTGGGGATCTTGTAACATTCTGGTACCTCGATGATGCCCGAGCTGGAGGGTACGAAACACTTGGGAATCCAAGGAGCAAACCAGAGATCTGACGCGCATTTCCTTTTGCAGATTTTATGCAGCAGAGATCTCCATTGGATTGTTCTTTCTTCATAAAAGAGGAATCATTTACAGGTGCGTGTAGAGGCCCTCCCCGGAGCCCTGCACCTCCGTGTGCATGTAATTCTGTGGTGGGGACTTAAGACACGGAATTGCTACCCACGAGGTAACAGAGACCTGCTGGGACACACCTTTGTCGGCAGCCTCCAGACAAATCAGAGCCACTTTCTGATTTCCAGACCTCAAAAGATGTTATATCTCGCTTCTGCTTCCCACAAGAAAACATGCTTTTTCCTCTCCCCCTGGCAGCGCCTTCCTCTGTCTTTTTTTGGAACAGAGGTCAGGGAGCAATGGAAACCGAATTTCTGTTAGAGATGCTCGGCAGGAGGGGAACATGGGGAGCTGGGGAAAGAAAACCACTGAATTAAGTTCTTTAGGTTGTTATCTACGGTGAGAGTCTGATGCCAAAGAAAGACGAATTCCAGTGTTAATTGAAGAGTAAAAGGACACATGGCTCTGGGCGGAATGGAAGGGACGCATGCATGGCCCAGTGAGCTGGTTCTAAACCTGTCATTTTGCAAACCTGGCTATGTACCAGGCACCCACCGTGTGGGATATGAGTAAATCAACCGATTGAGGTCTGGCCAGACCTGCAAAACTAGAATCGTGCTCAGCCGAGGTTGGGGGTCACTAGTCCAGCCATTTGGTCATTGATTCGGTGCACTTGTATTAACTATCTCTGATGGCTTTAGTGCTACATTAGGCTCTGGAGATTTAAAAAGAAAAAAAAAGCCAGTCATTTCCTTGTCCCAGCTCTCCTGGGACCCGTAGTTAATATGCCACTGAGGTGGGGGCTAGTCAGATATCCTTGGGTCTCACTAGCTCCAGAGCAAACCATGCTGTCATGGGAAGAGCGCTGATACTCTCTCTCCTGCTTCCTTTGCAGGGATCTGAAGTTAGACAACGTCATGCTGGACTCGGAAGGGCACATCAAGATTGCTGACTTCGGGATGTGCAAAGAACACATGATGGATGGAGTCACAACCAGGACCTTCTGTGGGACTCCAGATTACATTGCCCCAGAGGTAGGGACCCCGACTCCCCTTGTTTTCTAGACCAGACCCTTCAAATAGCAAATACAACCAACCGAGAATCATTAGTGAACCCCTAAGTCAGTGAGCACAAAATGGACTCAACTAGACTAAAGTAGAGTGAAATAGAAAACATGTAGGAGAGCTTGTCACACAGTGAGACTGTATCTTGTTTCGTAGAGCTGTGTTCTGTGCACTTGTGACCGGGTTGCGTGGTAAATGAAATTGATTTCTTACACGGTCATGGTCAAAACAATTGAAGCTCCACCTTTGGGCAGAGAAAGGGGGATCTGGCTCGTAAAAAACGTTCTGCATGGGGAAACTGGCTCAGAAGGTGGTTCCTTCCAACGCTTGCTTTTTGGTGAAATGCAAGTGATTCGTTCTCTAAATGACACCCTGGACTTGATCGTGGTGTTTGATCTAGGAAGAGCATTTCGGCGTGGTCTGTAAAGGGAGTGGTTCTGAGATGTGTGTTTGCAACAGTGGCCGCATTTCTTCATCTTTGTTAGGACACATACTGAGTCCTTTTCTTCCTGCTGTGAATCTTCCTACATGCCAGCCATTGGGGGGGACTGTCACCCTGGGGTGCTGTGTAGCCTGCTTTCTCTCCCCACACAGCCCTGTGGAGGGAGTAGTTTCTTCCCAGCTGAGCTGCAGCAGGCTAGAAAGTAACAAAGTTGGGTCTTCCTTCCCTCCTGTAGAGCTCCGGGCTAGCTGTTGGCAGCTCCTTGGGCATTTATTTAACCTGTTGCCCCACATGTTTATCTTAGAGGCAGTAGGTATGATGAAAAAGACACACGCATACAAATCAGACCAATGTGTGCTTCAGTCCCAACTCTCTTCGCCACAGGCTGTGGGAACCCAGGCAAATCACTGACACTCTCTGAACCCATTTCCACAGTGGCAAGTTAGAGATGATAAGATCCTCCCTGTAGAATCGCTGTGAGGGCAGAAATGCCGAACTCAGTGTTCTGTATCCAGTAGACCCTCAGTGGTAGCAAGGATCCCAAGAGGGAAGCTAATTTTTCCCCTTTGTCAAGAGCTTGTTTGTTATATGCCCAGACGGTGCGGAAACATAGACTTAGAACACTGACTTAGAAACTTAAATTCTCAACCACAAAGGTGACATGTTATCTTGATACATAACTCAGTGGGGTTTCCCCTCCCCTCCACAAAGAACTCATGCATCGCAATCTCCAGGCATAACATGAGCTTGAAGAGGTATATTTTTCAAACATGAAAAATAGGGAGATCATACGGTAAAAATACAACTTCCTGATGCAGTGTTTACCCTGACACCTTCTCTGCCTGCTCCATTTAACACCCACCAGCTACTCTTAAGAGTGTGGTGACAGGGAATGGCAGCGCTTTTAGGCAGGAAGATAGTTTGAACTTCTTCTCCATTAAGACCCAGACTCTGCGATCAAACAAATATGGGATCCAACAGATAGCTTTCTGTGTTCAATACCACCTCAGCCACCTGGTATTACCAAGCATGACAGCCTCCCACAGAGATGAAACGTTCCAAACAATGATGTTTGTCATCTTTTTTTCCCCTCAATGTTCTCCATTGTATTAGTTTCTTATTGCTGCTACAAAGAATAGTCCTGCAGTTAATGGATTAAAACAATACAGATTTATTACCTTACCTCTCTGGGGGTCAGAAGTCCAGAATCCGTCTCACGGGGTCAAAGTCAAGTTGTCGGCAAGGCTAAACTCCCTCCAGAAGCTCGGGGGGTTGGGAGGGGAAGAGGGGGGAGTCTTGTTGCTTTGCCTTTCTCCAGCCTCTACGTGGCATAGCGCCTTACCATTTCTGTCTTTTATGACCTCAACCCCACAGCCTCTCTCGCCTAAGGACCACTGTGATTACGTGGGGGCCCACCCAGATAACCCAGGCGTCCCTCTGTCTTAGGATCCTTAATCGCATCTGCAAAGTACCTTTTACCAAATAAAATTAACACATGCACAGATTCTTGGGTTCGAATGCACCCACCTTTGGGGAAGGGGCCACAGCACATCCCACCACATTCTTCATGATGGTTTCTCATCTAACTGTATTTGATAAACTCCCACTTCCCTCCTCCAAGTAAACATGCTTCTCTAATGTATCTTGGTAACTTTGGGGCTTTTTTTTTTCCTTTTGAACTTGTGCTTATTCGTGTGTATGTTTAGTTCTGTGCAACGTGATCCTGTGTGTAGATTCAGTTCTCCAACACCACAGTCAGGAAACAGGAGGGTTCCATCCCTTCCCTATGGCCTTTCATAGCCACGTCCACCTCTTCCCACACTCCCTCCAGTCCCCATCCCTGCCCCTCAGCCACCACTCACCAATTATCCATCCTGTAACTTCGTTATTTTAAGAATGTCACACACATGACAGGGGCGCCTGGGTGGCTCAGTTGGGTAAGCATCCAACTTCAGCTCAGGTCATGATCTCATAGTTCATGGGTTCAAGCCCCATGTCAGGCTCTGTGCTGACAGCTCAGAGCCTGGAACCTGCTTCAGATTCTGTGCCTCCCTTCCTCTCTGCCCCTCCCCCACTTGTACTTTTTCTCTCTTTCTCAAAAATTAAACACTAAAAAATTTTGTTCCTAAAAATTAATGTCACGTGATGGAGTTGTGCAGCATGTAACTTTTGGAGATTGACTTTTTCATCTGAACCCTTTCTAGAACTTCAGTCCTCATATTTAATTACGCCTCTACCACCTGGGCAAGTTGCTTAAGCATTCCCCTGCCTTAGTTTCCTCACCTGTGAAGTGGGGGTAATAACGCGTACCTCATGAGGTCATCGCCTGTAGCTTGCAGTGCTGTCTGGCGCGAGACGAGCTGGTCCTGCCATGCTTATCGTTCACCTGACTCATCCGCCGCATTGCACCTGAGCCGCATAGTCTTCTGCGCAGCCTCCCTCAGGTGGTCCCCACAGCCTGTTTAGGACGAGGTGCCCAGGGCAGTGAGTGAGGGTCTGAGGCCACATTACTAAGAAGCGTGCAAACCAGGCTTCACCATCGGGCTCCCCGCTGTGCTGCCCACGTCATCAAACCAGAGCCCTGATCCTGGGTGATTGATGGCTGCAGAGGGCGCTCTGCACACTCACTGTGACACACAGGGTGCCCCTGGCATCCTGCATCCGACGGGCCCTGTCCTTGACAAGCTATACGGTGTGGAAGACGTGACCCTCACGCAAACAGACACCAAAATCCGTGTTTATTTTCTTTTCATTCTTTTTAATGTTTTATTTATTTCTGAGAGAGAGAGAGAGAGACCACATGAGCAGGGGAGGATCAGAAAGAGAGGGGGAGACACAGAATCCGAAAGAGGCTCCAGGCTCTGAGCTGTCAGCACAGAGCCCGATGTGGGGCTCAAACCCATGAACTGTGAGATCATGACCTGAGCTGAGGTCGGACACTTAACCGACTGAGCTACCCAGGTCCCCCCAAAATCTGTGTTTAGATCCTAGTTGGCTTTCATGGGCAAATTAGCTACACCACTTTGGGAGCTCACTCAGCAATAATTGCAGGCTGTCTTACCTTTAGCCAGCATCTTCCCCCTATGGGCCCCGGGAGTTTGGCACATTCAGCCATGGGAATAATTGCAGTGAGGAAGAAGACCATCTGGGTTCAAGGTTTCGGAATTTTGCTTGGAGGTTAAAATCATCCTGTCGTCTGTGTAAATCTTTGTGTCAGGCAGAGGCAAAAATAATTATCTTCGATGGCATTTTCCTTAATAGGCAAAGCGGAGGCTTAAATATTTATGACTGTTTGTTCAAAACCCTTGAAACGGATTAATATTGTGGCATCCCCTTAACCAGTGAAGACGTGCTGAGGCAGGAAATGTCACCAACAGATAGGACTTCTGGCATTGAGTTGGAAACCCACAAAAGGGGCACTAATCGGAAAATGATTCCTGGGCCTGACGTGACAGGTACTCTTGGCTTTGACATAGAAAGAATTCTTTGGGGTCAGCGCAGGTCCCTGAGAAGGGTACACAGAAGCTGCATCTGAATTTAATCCCCCATCTGAGAGTGAAATCCCTCTACAGGGTCAGGACCCCCCTCCCTGAATCAGACTGTGGACACTAGCATTGCCTACTGTTTCCTGGAAGAAAGAGGTGGCAGAGGGGAAGGACTTGCTTCTGGCTGGTGGACCTCTGAGCCCTGTGTGGTGCTGTGTCATGCCAAACCCTCGTGTGGCAGGGGGCAGTTAGACTACACACGATGGGTGTGACCCGTGATGTAGTAGTGACTGCCTCCTCTGTACCAAGCCCTCTGAGCACATCTTGTGCTTTGTCACATTTTATCCCTGAGCAGAGGTGAAGTGACACGTCCCAGGCCATGCACCAGCTGATAACAGGCCAGGGTAGGATTTGGACCTGAGACATTCTGACCCTAGAGCCCTGGTATTCTTTCCACCTATGACCCCACCTCCAGAGATCAGAGAAAACTCCCGGTTCACTTGGGGAGTTAACGATGAGTGCCAAGGTGTTGTACAACACACGTGACATCTTGTAGGAGAAGATGGGTGCTCATCCATCTGACCTGGGATTGGGGGCCTGAGTCTCAGTTCTCTCTGCCTGCAGCCAGTGACTTGGGGGCGTATTCCCACTGTTACTACTGGGCAGACCCCTTAGAAGCCAGATATTCAGAATGCCTGCTGGGTGCCTGGCATGCTCGGCATGGAAAGGGAGCCAGCAGGGACTGGAGAGGGGGCCTGGAGCCAGAGGCAGTTTGAAATGGGCCACGGCAGCCCAGGCGAACCATAGAGCAAGAGATGTGAATGAGACCACGTTCCCCTCCACCAGAGCGGATGGCACCCCCCATGTGGCCGAGGGAACTGGGGAGCAATCTGTGGGCCACCCTACAGCCCAGCCAGCCACAAGCCAACATGCAGACTCCCATGAGGGCTGGGGGCTGGATGAGGTCAGGGAGCCAGAGACACAACCTGAGGGCCCCTGCCTTCTTCTGTCTCTACGGGAAGGCCAGCCCAGTGCCACAGAAG